AAAAGTCCGAGCGAAATGAAAATGGGGTGGTAGGGGGCAAAATCTTCACCCCCCCCCCCCCTGCTTGTTAGAGATCTGCGAATGCAGAGACTGGACGTACGTCGTTTACTCTGAGTCGCTTACTATTAGTAAGGAGATCAGAGGTTAGGCACTGTGTTATATAGATGCTATAACCTTACATGGAATAATAAAATCATAGGGGAGACCACAGGTCACCCAACATAATCCATAAATGTTAAATTCTAATATATCATATATCTTATAATAATGTTGCTCAGCAACCCCCCTCCTCCTCTTTGTTTTCTACTACCCATCACAGATGGTTATTCCCGTGACAAAAATAAATTTTCTGTTTTATTTTACACTGAAAAGGCTTCACAGTATTACGATTTATTCTATTTTCACTTTACGTATACAACGCACTACATTTTGTAGCGGAGTAAACAGACCCGATAGACGTGAACTATGCGGGGGACCTAAGGTCCTAGTTCAGCGTACGTTTTATCCTTCTGCAGCTTATGCGATAGTAATGCGTCCGGCGTCCGTCCGTCTGTCTGTAAACAATTTTTCAAAATGTTACTCCTCCTACAGTTTTGGTCTGATTTCAATTTAATTTGGTACACAAGTAGACTACACTAAGATACATAATTCTGTGTATCGGTTTTTGATTTTGATGAACGGTGTTGCCGTGGTTACTAAAAATAGAAATCTGTGCAATTCTTTCAAAATCCTGTCTCCTACAGCTTTGGTCTGATTTCAATATAACTTGGCACACAAGTAAACTACACTAAGATAAACAATTCTATCTATTGGTTTTTGACTTCGATGAACATTATTGCCTTGGTTACTAAAAATAGAAATTTCTGTGAAATTCTTTCAAAATGCTACTCCTCCTACAGTTTTGTTCTGATTTCAATTTAATTTGGTACACAAGTAGACTACACTAAGATACATAATTCTGTGTATCGGTTTTTGATTTTGATGAACGGTGTTGCCGTGGTTACTAAAAATAGAAATCTATGCAATTCTCTCAAAATGCTACATCTCTTACAGTTTTGGTCTGATTTCAATATAACTTGGCACACAAGTAGACTACACTAAGATAAACAATTCTATCTATTGGTTTTTGACTTCGATGAACATTATTGCCTTGGTTACTAAAAATAGAAATTTCTGATTAATACTCTCAAAATGCTACTCCAAATACAGTTTTATTCTGATTAAAATATAATGTGGCATGCAAGTAGACTATACTAAGAACATAAGACTTAATCAAGTATCATTATTTTATTTATTGCTGTTGTAAAGTTTCAATCCCCAACTGCTTAAGTACTTTTCTCTTCCTTTGCTATAAGTACAAACCAGTAGAGCTTCAGTCTCGACAGAGACTTCTGGTTATAAATGAAATTATTTTCAAATGTCGGAGTGAGAACTCCACAAAAAAGAGCGAAGGTGCGAGGGCGAAAACGCGAAGTCGCCTTCGTACTTTCGCTCTCGCACCTTAATTCGCGCTTGGCCGTCGCATCTTCGCACTTCGCTACTTTGCCCTCGCAACTTCGCCCTAAAGGCGAAGGTGCGAGTTGCCCCATCGGAACACAATACTAGTACATTATTTCAAATGGTACATATTATATTTGGATGTCTTAAGTATACTAATCTTAGATGAAACATAGTCAACGTAAAACAGATAATCTTTTTTCCAAGTAATCGTTTTATCGTTTTAACCACTTCAGAATTTCTTCCAATAGCGTTGTTATCATGTCCATTATCAAAAAACAAGCAAATCTCATGTAACATATACTGGCTGAACATCATCTGTCCTATATCCATCAAACCGAGCTCACCTGGCTGAAATTTTACAAAGGTGTACAAATAATGATTTTTGTTTGGTTAGCTTATTGTGCAAAAATGAACCAATGTTTTTAAAGTATTTATTTTACTTATCCTTGTCCCAAACCGTGGTTGAACGCTTGATCTACGGAATAGCTACTTGTGACAGAAATGTGACCGAAATTCTACTGAATAATGACCGAATAGTCCTGCCATTCAGTGACCTTCCCAGACCTTTCAGTAATCATTCAGTAATCCTTCAGTTGACTGAATGCAATGGATTCATTCTGTGTGTTACAGAGCAGGAACAACACGCTAGACTTTTCGACTATCTGGGCAAGTTAAGAATTACTCTCGGAAATTCCACTGGCATCGAATTGATTTGCCTGGATAGCTGAGTGGTCTAGAGCGCTGTTGCTGTACTGTTTGGAGACAGAATAAGCATCCGCAATTTTCCACCCAGGTTAGGTCTGGATAAAGTACTCTTGTTATGTGAATTTTCTATGCTTTTAAAGTAATATTTCTTCATTCACTATGTATATATAGTTTTAAAGTATTATATATGTGCATTAATACACTGATATCTTGAAAACCATGGATATATCGAAGCGATTTGGAAGTCCCAGTCTCTCATTTGTTAAGCGTTTTTCCCTGATTATCTCGAATCCTCAGCTATTTCAAAGTTCTTTTTGATTCTATGAGTTCGGGATAAGGAGGTTACGTCAAATGCTGGAGTCCTCTCACCCTAGCTTTAGGCTAAAATAATACCCCCATATTACCGAGTATCTACATTGTGTATAATGCCAAAGGTCAAGAAATGAAGCGGCGGATTTGGAGTTTTCAGAATTGGGAGAGGGTACAGCCCGAAGATAATTTTACACGACATAATATACTGCGGTATAATTATTTTGTTAATCCCAGTTTTCTTTAAGAGAATACATTAATGCCTGCCAATGGAGGCTGAAACGATAAAATTTTAATGAACATTGTTTTTTGAGTGTGTATGCTATTATTTACCGGGGCAACCACTTAATAAAAGCAGGTATATGTCTTATGGCTTCTGAATGTCAAAACTTGAGAAAAATATATATCAGTAAGCTTGACAGGCTATAGGCCTGACATGTAAATTCTTTGAAGAGTTTTCATTTATCGTATGATATAATGTGCAGCAGATAAGATACTGTCGTCCCACTTATATAACATGGCAGATCGAGGACGGAGTCGCAGGTCTGATTCAAGAAATGGTCATGTCTCAGAGAATAATACTTACGACCAGCAAGGTCGACATGATGATGAGAGTGATGAATATCCCGAGAGCATTGGAATGGAAGATAGGAGTGGAGGGATAACTGATGATCTGGGCCCAAGGCGTAGGGATATTGTGCCCTGGAATGGAGGATATCATGGCGACGAAGAGCGAGAATTGCAAAGCCCAGCGCATTCAAGGGTTTCGGATAGGGAATACAGAAATAGGAGTTTCCTATATTATGAAGAGCATCGTTCGGATAGAGGATACAGAAACATGGCTTACAGAAATACCGAGATTCAAAATGTAGATTACCGACAACAACTGATGAAAAGACAGCAAGTGTATGAAATGGCCGAACACAGGGCTGAAGATTATGGTCGTGCTGTGCAACATCAGGGTCCTTCAAGGATGAGCTACAGGGAGAGTGGATTTTATGTTCAGCAAGATCGAGATCCAAATGAAAGAGCTTATCCAGAAAACATGGAAATGAGTTACGAAGAGCGCGGGCTACCTGCCGTTTATTCACACCAGTACCCTGCGCCGGGGGAGATGCAAATGGATCGTGGCCCCCAACCCAGTTTGCAGCTCCATCAAGGATATCAACATTCAGCTGCATGGCACACTCAAGTTCCATTTGTAGTTGTACCACAACCACAGCATCAACAACAGCCGCCTCAGCCAGAGGAGGAGGAAGAGAAGAAGCCGAGAAAAGTTTGGTGGTATACCACTTGTCGCGTCTTCTCTGCAGTCTTGATCATTCTCAATCTTGTTTCAGATTGGCTGCAATACTCCGACATGAGCGATCCTGTTGGGGATATAAAAGAGATACTCAGTGGAAAAAAGGAAATCTGTGCCAACGGTCAAAAGACGGACAAAAGTGAAAAAAACGCTGAACAATTCTTGTATTTAACCATTGCAGGGACCGTGATTGCTGTTCTACAAATGGCTAACATCATCTATCAGATCGTTCAGAACCACCGACTACAGCCTGATATTGAAATCACCGATTATGTGGACGAGCGAACCGAAATTTTTCTTGTAAACGCATTTATAAAAATTCCACAAAATTTTTTACTTCATCGCTTCGAAGAAAGTTTATCTGAAACATGTTTCGAATGCAAAGTGTGGGACGCCGGGAGAATCAGACGTTTTCTAAACGGCCTGTCTGCTCTTCTAAGCACTGGTTGGCGTTATTTGACGAACCTGAAGGTTTCAGCCGGTAACACAAAATGTGACTGTTCAAACGTCTGTTCTAGATTTTGTGAAAAATTTGTCGCTTGCCTGACCGCTTGTTTGACCAAATACCTAAAGAAATGCTTCCGTGGTTTGATCAAGTGCTGTTGTCCATGTTGCTGTTGTTGTTTTGAGTAAGTTCATTATTTATCGCTTAGATACATCATTTACTTGTAGAATTCTTGATAAAAATATTCGTATTTAGGATATTTACGTCGTTTATTACTTTATTCATTCAGATTGAAGTCAATTCTTATTTCAGTTGTAAGTCCATTTGGACTCTGTCATTATTTGAGTTGTAATATCCTTAAGAACATCCATACATGTATCAATATTGATTTCAGTTTAAAGACAATTAGGGATTTTCACTTTAGAAATGTCAAACTTATGGAGTTTATTTATTTCAGCTGTAAGACGTTTATTCCTTGTTGCTGCTGCTATATCAGTTGTATAAAAGGCAAGATGTCAACCGAGTGTGTCTGTAGTAACTGCAAACTTTGCGACCCAAAAGCGCCCTCTGTCTTCGCGGACCTGGCCGCTTTACCTACCGGTCTGTACACGTTCCTATACACAGCTAGGATAGTGAAATACTTCTGTGGCATCTCCTCCATACTTGTATTTTCCTGGTATACTGATGTGGCTAATTTTATTACCGGAAAAATATTTTTCTGGCTTTGGGACAAAATCTTTTAACTATATATTTAGAGGCTGCATTCTTCCCTTGTTTTATTTAGCTCACCTGAGCCAATATCGTTTTTCTTCTGTCAGCTTTAAGAAGGTATTCAAGTCAATGTTTTGTTAGATATGATTCATAACAATTACTAAAATAGCTAATTTTGAATTTGCATTTTTTGTATTTTCTTACTTTAAATAGAATTATAAATACTGATAATTAAGTTGATAACAATAAAGTTGGATTTCACATGTTCTGAAAATAATATATATATATATATATATATATATATATATATATATATATATATATATATATATATATATTCCTGCACTGCTAGGAGACAGATTCCGAAGGTCGAGAGTTCACCCCGGGCTGGGGCGGAAGTTGGTACCCATGTAAAAGTGGATTTCTTTGTGCTTTCTATATTAATATTTCTTCACATAGGGCATGTTATGTTAGTTTAAGAGTTGTTGTAAAATGTGCTTTATAAATAATTAATTTCATTACAACATGTATTGGTAACAATCCTCTGTTAAAACTAATGTCCAAATAACTGTATCTCACTTCTATTCTCAATGACCGTGTAGTGTAGGACAGCGCCGCGAGAATTCCATCGGCATCGAAAGCAAGTTTTTTGACTTGCCTAGATAGCCGAGCGGTCTAGCGCGCTGTTCCTACACTGCTAGGAGACAGATTCCGAAGGTCGAGAGTTCAACCCCGGGCTGGGGCGGAAGTGGGTATCCATGTAAAAGTGAATTTCTTTGTGCTTTCTACATATATATATATATATATATATATATATATATATATATAAAACTAAAAAACCAACAACACTGTATATCCTAAATGTCGGATCTACCAAGTAGATACAAGGTCATGGATGGAAATTTATATTAAGCACTAAAAATGACCAACGACACGAACATTAAAGCTTGTCAAATTTTCGGGACGCCCTGTCCCTTCCTCAGGACAAAGAAAAAAGTTAAAAAGTCATAAGAACAAAGGAAAAAGAGAAACAAAAACAACTAGCACTACTACTAAACTACTAAACACTAGATATTTACATACTTAATTACATGTTGAATTGGAAATTTTTAAGAACACGAATAAAGAAAGAAATCCGGACCGCTATGAAATGCGTCCGGTCTATCGGGTATACTCGGGTGAAGTGCGATTTACATAATTGAACGAATTAATTATGCTAATTAATTACGACAATCAGTAAATCGTACATTGATTCATTCTCTCAAAATGGCGTAACTTTACTTAATAAAGAATAATGAAAGAAAAATCATATAGTAGGGATATTCAAACATATGAATTGTGATCAATTATAAATTTTGAAATATTTAAGGACTTATTATCGGGAAAAAATAATTAACAAAGGCGTAAGCAATACATAGTTATGTGGTTGTTCGAGAGTTGGTGGCACAAATTAACTGTAGAGTTTACACTAAATTGAGAGAATAATTTTGTTTAGTATGATCAGGAATTAGGTCTAATTTACGTTCATTCTGGTGAAGTCATTCAATTTGTTAATACCATTTGGGCGGAATGACTTCAATCTGTGCATCCAGAACTTTTCTTTGCTTTTCCTCTGAGCATCTGTCCATCTTGGGTTATGGTCAATCACCACTACTGTCATGTCCTCCCATTTGGGACGGACCCGTACAAACTCCTGACGTCTGCCCAGTGCTCAATACATTTAGTGCTCCTCTCTCCGAATCGGAGACCTCACTTCTCTCAAAGGGGCTAAATTTCTGCCCCACGCCACATGAGGTCGACGAAAAACAAGTCAGAGAGGACACCCGAGCATTCTTTCGGAGACTTCATTTGAAGGAGCACTTCTCTTGAAAAGACTCCGAAGCAAATTCATACGACTCTTCCAAGCCAGATTTACAGGACCTAGAGGAACACAAACTCTATAAGCTCAAGAGTGCCTGGGAACCTACACCGGGCAAATGCGGCGCGCTTGAGTCGTATATTGATGCCGTTGAGTCAGACATAGAGAAGCTCCTTTCAATGCCAGACAAAACTCCCGACAATTTGAGTAAGGAGGAGAGATCTGCCTTACAATCATTAAAAAATCGGGATGACATTGTAATTAAGAAAGCAGACAAAGGCTCTACAGTTGTAGTAATGGATAAAGAGACTTACATGGCGGGGGCCCAAAGACAACTCTCAGACGAACGTTTCTATAAGAAACTGGACTCTGACCCTACCAAAGAATTCTCAACCGCCATTACCAAAACTCTTGACGATATGTTTGAGAAAAATGAGATTGGTATCAACGTCTATGAGACCTTAAATCCTATTGACTGTAGACCAGGACAATTCTATCTGCTTCCTAAAATACACAAAGAAGGCATGCCAGGTCGCCCCATAGTCAGCGCAATTGGACACCCCACGGAGAAAATTTCTGAATTCATTGATTTACATCTCCGTCCACACGTAGAAAGTTTGCCATCCTATCTTAAGGACACTACGGACTACATTAACAAGACGCCCTCTACTGGCCTCCCAGATCATACCCTCCTCGTGACTATGGACGTCACATCTTTGTACACCAATATTCCGCACGATGAGGGTATCGAAGCCTGTAGAGAAGTCTGGGATAGTAGATCCATACAAGTTTCTTCTAACGAGTCCCTTGCTAAGCTCCTTGAACATGTTCTCAAGTTCAACAACTTCATGTTTAATGGAGAACATTACCTGCAAGTTAATGGCACTGCTATGGGTACGAAAATGGCACCGTCTTATGCCAATGTCTTCATGGGCAGACTGGAACGCAACTTGTTACTTCAAGCACCATTTAGGCCTCATAGCTGGTTGCGTTTCATTGACGATATAGAGATGAAGTGGGTGGATTGTCGCGAGAACCTCGAGGCATTCATTACGTTTGCCAACACCTTTCATCAGTCGATCAAATTTACAGTAGACGTATCTAATTCGAAAAACGTATTCCTAGATACTACATCTACCCTGATTGATGGTGAAATCGAATTCAGTCTCCACACCAAACCCACAGACTCCCACCTATATCTTATGCCCACTAGCTGTCATCCCCCACACACTTTTAAGGGAGTGCCTAAGGGTCTAGCCACCAGAATTCGACGCATCTGTTCGTCCCCTGCCTTATATCAGGAGCAAAGTGGTCTTCTTAAGTCCCACTTATGCAAAAGAGGCTACAATGCCCGCACCGTACAAACAGCTATTGATGAGATGGCGGAACATGACAGGCAAAACCTATTTCGCTACAAGGAAAAAGACAATAGCGACAGGGTCCCTCTGGTAACCACATACCATCCCGTTCTTAAGAACCTTAGCGGTATCCTTCAAAAGAACCTACCAATTCTCCATTCAAACAAACGAATGGCAGAGGTCTTTAAGGAACCCCCATTGGCTGCATACAGACGCCCAAGGAATCTAAAGGACATGGTAGTAAGAACCAGACTGGACAACCCATTACCTAACGGGGGCTTTAAAACTTGCTCTGACAGGAGATGTCTTCTTTGTAAGCACAGCACTGGCACAGACAGTTTTAACAGCCCTGTTACAGGCCGCAGCTACAAAATACTAGGGAATTTGTCCTGTCATACTGACAACTGCATTTATCTCATCAGTTGCAAAGTTTGCTCCAAACAGTATATTGGTGAAACAGGAGATCTCCGTAGGAGAGTCAATAACCACCATTCGACCATTAGGACCAAAAAACTCAATGAACCCGTTGGGGAACATTTCAACCTTGAGGGTCACAAATGGGAGGACATGACAGTAGTGGTGATTGACCATAACCCAAGATGGACAGATGCTCAGAGGAAAAGCAAAGAAAAGTTCTGGATGCACAGATTGAAGTCATTCCGCCCAAATGGTATTAACAAATTGAATGACTTCACCAGAATGAACGTAAATTAGACCCAATTCCTGATCATACTAAACAAAATTATTCTCTCAATTTAGTGTAAACTCTACAGTTAATTTGTGCCACCAACTCTCGAACAACCACATAACTATGTATTGCTTACGCCTTTGTTAATTATTTTTTCCCGATAATAAGTCCTTAAATATTTCAAAATTTATAATTGATCACAATTCATATGTTTAAATATCCCTACTATATGATTTTTCTTTCATTATTCTTTATTAAGTAAAGTTACGCCATTTTGAGAGAATGAATCAATGTACGATTTACTGATTGTCGTAATTAATTAGCATAATTAATTCGTTCAATTATGTAAATCGCACTTCACCCGAGTATACCCGATAGACCGGACGCATTTCATAGCGGTCCGGATTTCTTTCTTTATTAGTGTTCTTAAAAATTTCCAATTCAACATGTAATTAAGTATGTAAATATCTAGTGTTTAGTAGTTTAGTAGTAGTGCTAGTTGTTTTTGTTTCTCTTTTTCCTTTGTTCTTATGACTTTTTAACTTTTTTCTTTGTCCTGAGGAAGGGACAGGGCGTCCCGAAAATTTGACCATTTTTATTGTTCGTGTCGTTGGTCATTTTTAGTGCTTTATATATATATATATATATATATATATATATTCGATTTCTGAGAATTTATATTCTTTGAGAATTTCTCTGACACAACTAAGTTTCTACAGGAGTGTTGTAAAAAGTTTAATTATTTCCATTAATTTTTCTAGGTGTTCCTTAATTTTTATTCTGGTCAGTTAAAAAAATGAGCACATGGTCGCTAAAGCACAAGGCTGTATCTTGTACAATCCGAAACATGGCTGCAATGATGTAACCCTTTCTAATTTTAGGGGGGAGGGCTACATCTCCCAGGATCTCCGTAATGGTGCAACTGCGGGAGCGATTCACTCCCGCAGGGAGTCAGTAAACGACTATTTTATTAACTATTTTATTAACATGTCTTACCCGGACTTCCAAAATATAAATAAATTATACAAGACATAAATCGTGATTATTTTTCAACATCATGTCAACATCACAACTTGAATTTATCCGCCATGTTTACAGACCTTGACAGATTTTATTTTGGGACAGCCAGTGAGACTGAGGA